AAAAAAAAAAAAACCCACAATGAGATACCACCTCACATCCATCAGGATGGCTGCTATCGACACCCCCCCTCCCCCAAACCCCCAGAAATTAACAAGTGTTTATGAGGATGGAGAAATTGGGACCCTTGTGCATGGTTGGTGGGAATGTAAAATGGTATAGCTGCTATGAGATGGGAGAAACAGTATGACAGTTTCTCAAAAAATTAAAAATAGAATTCCCATATGACCCTCTCGCTTTTGGGTATATATCTGAAAGAATGGTAAACTGGGTCTCAAAGAGATATTTACATAGCCATGTTTATAGCAACATCATTTACAACAGCCAAAAAAGTGGAAGCAACCAGTGTCTGTTGGCAGATGAATGTATAAACAAACTGAGGTATATACATACAAAGGAAGATTATGCAGCCTTAACAAAGAAGGAAATTCTCACACGTGCTACAACACGCACAGACCTTGAGGACCTTGTGCTAAGTGAAATAAGCCACTCATAAAAGACAAATACTGTATGATTCCACCTATATGGGGTTACTAGAGTAGTCAAATTCATAAAGACAAAGTAGAATGGTGATTGCCAGGGGCCAGAGGGAGGGGGAAATGAAGTATTGTTTAATGACTTGAACATTTCAGTTTTTCAAGATGAAAAGAGTAAGAGGAGATGGATGGTGGGGATAGTTGCACAATATTACAAATGTATTTACTAACACTACATCATATACTTAAAATGGTTAAAATGCTAAACTTTCTGTTATGTGTATTTTAATTTAAAAAAATTACAAAGCCATGATACCAGTGTGGCTGGAATAATCTCAGAAAGTAAGGGAGAGAGAGAGTGGTGGAGAGGAGACCAGAAAGCTCAGAGGTAGCTTACAGACACATCATCATCATGAGGACTTGAGCTTTTGTTCTGAGTGAGTTGGGTTTTGAGTAGAATAGTGACAAGATTTGACTCAGGCTTTAGCAAGATCACTCTGTTCTGTTGAGAAGAGATTACAGGAGTAGAAGGAGGGGCAAAGAGACCACTTAAAGGGCCAATCCCTAATCTTGTGTAGATCAAATACAAAAACATCTGAGAGATGGTTTTGAGACTTGACAATAGTGTACAGATGTTTTATGATCTTAACTGTATGCTATAAACTTTTTCCTACAGGTTCACCATGGCATCAAGGGAATGGTACTTGATGAGAATTATAATAATCTCGCAGGGGCTGTCATTTCTGTCAGTGGGATTAACCATGATGTCACTTCAGGTAGGTGGCTGCTGCTTAGGGGATGGGAAGAAACCTTTTGTCCTTCCTCCTTCAGCATAATCAGAGGCCAGTTTTTAAGCCAGCAAGACAAGCAGGACATCTGGGACACTGCAGTAGAGGATCAGAGGAAGGAAGGGTAATAGGAATCAGGAGAGTAAATGAAGAGGCTAGATCCAACAACTATAGTGTTTAAATGGAAGCTTTTTGCTTCTGAAGCAAGAATCCTTGAGAGGCAGGGACCAGGTAAGACCAGTAAATGTAACTTCTCATTAGCCTTCAGGAGTCCCTACTACCAGGGGTGGCTAACCTTTTTTCTTTTCTGCCACACATTAGAAAAATAAGAGTTGTCTTGGGCCACATATTAACTAAGCAATAACTAAGCTGATGAGCAAAAAAAAAGGGTCTGTGCATATTTTTTGCAATACCCAACACCACAGACTAGCAAAACAGTCCTCAAATAATCTACATGTGGTTGGGTGTTTTCTTGGCTTAAGGCTATTTTTTTTTTTTTTTTTTTTTTTTTAGAGAGACAGTTTTACTTTATCGCCCTTGGTAGAATGCTGTAGTGTCACAGCTCATAGCAACCTCCAACCCG